ACAGTTGCTCTCTCACAGACGCGTCGTCGCCTCTCTCTGTCTTTTTTACAAGTACTTTCATGGTAATTGCTCCGATGAGCTGCTTTCACTGCTTCCCAGACTTCATGAATTCAAGCGCCATACGAGGCTGGCATCCCGCTCTCACCCTTTCCCTGTAGAAACTTTAAAATATAGCCGTCTCTTCTACTCCAATAGCTTCATACCTCGCACCTCTCGCCTGTGGAACACCCTTCCAAATTACTGTTTCCCTGAGAGCTATAATCTCCAACTATTCAAATGTAATGTCAATCGACATCTCCAGTTACCTTGATCTATCCACTATCCTTCTCCTCATCCTTTTTTCTATCACTCTTATCTGCTCTCGCTCCAAATCTTCTGCAACCCCCCCATGCATCCTAGTGGCTTCCCACCTTGCTCGGGGAAAAATCTTAAAATAAATATATATATATATATATATATATATATATATATATATATATATATATATATTAAATTTATGTATGTGGTGTATGTGGCTTCATTTTTAATTATAACGGATAGCAATTCGATGCTCACTAGAATCCACATATTTGTAACCATGTGATACTCAGTAAATATGTATATATATATTTACTCATTCTAGTATCTTGTGACTTTTATAGAAGATTGTGCAATAACAACAAATATTGCCAACACTGCACCACTCTCCTTCGTATTCTAGCTGATTTTAGACATGCTATTTTCTGCACGGGTTCGTTTTTTTTTGTTGTTTTTTTTCTTCAGATTTCTGATCTCAACAATTTGCAAGGCCCTTTGATACTGTTCTGCACGATCCAGTAATGATATCTGTTGCATTTATCTTAATGGCCTGCATTACTACGGTTTTCTAGAAAGATTCAGGTATGTTTCCAATTTTCCCTCCTATCAATTAATATTCTATTTCTACGTCTTCCGGAACCATGACACCCTTTACATGATTCACTTTTAACCTTGGATGAGAAATCCGTTAAAACTGATTATTATTTCTGCTGTCCAATAACAAATACTTACCTTTTGTATGAAACACGCATACATTTCAAACTTTCTTGATCATATATATATATATATATATATATATATATATATATATATATATATATATATATATATATATAAATGTATGTAGGACTGGAACTTGTAAAGCTTGGGATGACTCACGCCCTTTGTGCCTCCATGAGAAACTGCACATTATTAAGTTTCTAAATAATAAAAATCTATTAAACAATAGACATAAGTTAACGGTTTTTTTTCGACATCATCAAATTTATGCACTGAATAATTAGCTAAAAACAAGCATACAATATAATAACTTTTATAATCCATAACCCAAATAAATAGTTTAAATACTCTACAAAAAAAGATAACCCTTTATGAAGTTGTCTAAAAACAAATATTACGGCAGTTTTTATATGCCCAAATCCCTTTCATAAAGAAATAAAATAAAATAAATAAATAAATCTCAATAGACACGTAAACCAGACTAGGCGGAAACATCTTCCGTTTCAAATTTAGACACCCCCACCTTACCCTGACTTGACATCTATGAAAGTAACTCTATACTCATACTTATTATTAACACCCAACACACCCCTACCTAATTTAAACAATTCGCCCTAGCTGTTACCATGGAAATTTTGATTTCAATTATGAATATACTATTAAAACACGTAAATTTCAGAAATAAGTTATTCCCAAAAAAAATTCGCTTGAAGATGGAACAGAGCTTACTTTAACTTTAATTCAAATAATTATATTGAAGTTTTCGGCTCTTGTTTTGAAACATGATACCTCTTATGTCGCGAGTTGGAATCATATTGTTAAATAAATAATTATATATATATATATATATATAATCATACCAGGCAATTTCCGAAGGCGAATGCGTTTTTCTTGAGACGTTGGCAAGAATAAATTTTATATTTTGCGGGATTTTTATTTTCCATGGTATCATATGCATATATATTTAGTAAAGATCTGAGAACGTTCTTGGGCAAGCCGTTGATATAAAGCAGAATGAGGGCAGAACCTAGGAAAGAGACTTGAGGGACACAAGCATTGCTACAGAGGAGTTGCCTTTAACAACTACCTTGATGACATATGAGAGGACTTAGCTGTTGGTTCGAGAATTTCGGTAAATAGTAATTATGAGTTTAATCCTTGAGCCGGACAGTGTGTACTTGGACTCAATGAAAAATGGGGAGAACAATATTAAAGTAAAAACGTGAAGAGATATCCGTAGACATATTCCGCCGAACGAGAGCGATCTAACCCTGTAGGTTAAATAAAGTGTTCAGTTCCAAATTCCATGAAGGTTACAGGGATCTACAAGGACTTGATGAAGGCCGAAATGTTGTGATAATAGCAAAAAGCTTAAATTCAGGTGTTTCAATGCGATGAGGCTGTGTTGTTTCGTCCTTTCCACGTAAACTCAAATGCTTACAATTGACAGCTGATGTATTTACATATTCCACACTTGCGACAGATATAAATATTCGAACCTAGATCAAATGTCAGCATTATGAGAACTGATTTACATTCCTTGTAAGATTTCTGAAAAAAAATCTTTCTATTCTTTGTCGAACAAAGCTCAACTTAGTACGCTCACTGTATCTCTCTCTCTCTCTCTCTCTCTCTCTGGCGCTTTCTCTCTCTCTCTCTCTCTGACGCTCTCTCTCTCTCTCTCTCTGGCTCTCTCTCACTGTCACTCTCTCTCTCTGGCTCTGTCACTCTCTCTGGCTCTCTCTCTCTGTCACTCTCTCTCTCTGGCTATGTCACTCTCTCTCTCTCTCTCTCTCTCTCTGGCTCTCTCTCTCTCTGGCGCTGTCTCTCTCTCTCTCTCTGGCTCTCTCTCACCGTCACTCTCTATCTCTGGCTCTCTCTCTATCTCTATCTCTCTCTTTGACTATGTCACTCTTTCTCTCTCTTCTCTCTCTCTCTGGCTCTTCTCTCTCTCTCTCTTTCTCTCTCTCTCTCTCTCTAAAAATCCTTTCCTCTCTCTATCTGGCTCTGTAAAATCTGGCTCTCTCTCTCTCTGTCACACTCTCTCTCTCTGGCTATGTCACTCTTTCTCTCTCTCTCTCTCTCTGGCTTTCTCTCTCTCTCTCTCTCTCTCTCTCTCTCACTGTCACTCTCTCTCTCTCTTTCTGTCTCTCTCTCTCTCTCTCTCTTCAAAATTTCTCTCTCTGGCTATCTCTTTTTTCTCTCTCTCTCTCTCTTATTCTCTCTTTCTCTTTCTCTTTATCTCTCTCTGGCTCTCTCTCACTGTCAAAAAACTCTCTCTCTGGCTCTGTCTCTCTCTGGCTTTCTCTCTCTCTCTGTCTATCTTTCTCTCTCTCTGTTAAAATCAAAATTTCTCTCTCTCTCTCTCTGGCTCTCTCTCTCTCTCTAAAACTCTCTCTTTAATCTCTCTCTCTGTCTTTTCTTTCTCTAATCTCTCTCTGGCTCTCTCTCTCTGACATCTCTTTCTCTTTTTAATACTCTAACTTTCTCTATCTCCTGGCTCTTTCATCTTTCTTTTCTCTCTCTCTGTCCTCTTTCTTTGTGTCTCTCTCTATGTTCACGAACCTCTCTCTCTCTCTGGCTCTCTCTCATGTCACTCTCTCTCACTGGCTCTGTTAAGCTCTCTGGCTCTCTCTCTCTGTCAAACTCTCTCTCTGGCTTTGTCCTCTTTTCTCTCTCTCTCTCTCTCTCTATATTAATCTCTCTCTCTCTGGCGCTCTCTCTCTCTCTCTCTCTTGCCCTAAAAAAAAAGAAGATCTATCTTATTATATCTGTCAAATTCTTTCTCGCTCTCTCTCTCTTCAACCTTTCTCTCTCTGGCTATGTCCTCTTTCTCTCTCTCTCTCTCTCTTTTCTTTTTTTCTCTCTCTGGCTCTCTCTCTCTCTGGCTCTATCTAGATCCTCTCTCTCTCTCTCTCTGGCTCTGTCCTAAAATACATCTAAAGTCTCTCTCTCTGTCACTCTCTCTGTCTCTCTTTAAATGTCATTTTTCTCTCTCTCTCTCTCTAAAATTTCTCTCCACTTAAATTTATCTCTCTCACTTTCTATCCTCTCTCTGGCTTCTCTCTCTCTGTCTTCTTCTCTCTATAAATCCCAAATCTTATTCTCTCTCTTGCTGACTGGCACTAAAAAAAATCTCTTTGCTCTCTCTCTCTCTCTGTCTCTCTCTCATAAATCATCTCTCTATTTATTCAATCTCTCTTTCTCTCTCTCTCTCTGTCACCTCTCTCTCTTTACATTTTTCTTTCTCTCTCTCTCTCTCTCTCTCTCTCTCTCTCTCTCTCTGTAAGAGTTCTCTCTCTCTGGCTCTCTCTCAAAAAAAAATTCTCTCTCTGGCTCTGTCACTCTCTCTGGCTCTCTCTCACTATCTGAAAAAAGATTCTCTGGCTTGTCCTCCAGATATTTCTCTCTCTCTCTCTGGCTCTCTCTCTCACTGTCATTCTCTTTCTGGCTCTTCACCTCTCTCTCTCTGAAAAAAAAATTTTTCTATTCTTTGTCAAACAAAGCTCAAGGAAATATTCACTGTATATCTCTCTCTCTTTCTCTCTTTCTCTCTCTAGCGCTTTCTCTCTCTCTCTCTCTCTCTCTCCTGATTCCTCTCTCTCTCTCTCTTCTCTCTCTGTCTACTCTCTCTCTCTCTGGATCTGTCAATATCTCTGGCTCTCTCTCTCTGTCACTCTCTCTCTCTGGCTATGTCACTCTTTCTCTCTCTCTCTCTCTCTCTTTTCTCTCTCTCTGTATATATGTCTCTCTCTCTCTCTCTGTCTCTCTCTCATTGTCATTCTCTCTCTGGCTCTCTCTCTCTCTGTCACTCTCTCTCTCTCTGGCTATGTCCTTAAATTTCTCTCTCTCTCTCTCTCTCTCTCTCTCTCTCTCATCTCTCTACTAGAAATCTCTCTGGCGCTCTCTCTCATTGTCTCTCTCTATCTGGCTCTGTCACTCTCTCTGGCTCTCTTTCTCTCTGTCCTTTCTTCTCTCTGGCTATGTCCTCTTTCTCTTCTTCTCTATCTTCTTTCTCTCTCTCTCTCTCTCTCTCTCTCTGGCTCTGTCATATATATATATCTCTCTCTCTCTGTATCTGTTCTCTCTCTCTCTCTCTTCTCTTTCAAAGAATAATCTGGCTATCACTCTTTCTCTTTCTCTCTCTGTCTCTCACTTCCTCTCTCTCTCTCTGGCTCTGTCCTCTCTCTGGCTCTCTCTCTCTCTCCATTTCTCTCTCTCTCTCTCTCTCTCTGGCTATGTCCTCTTTCTCTCTCTCTCTCTTTCTCTCTCTGGCTCTCTCTCTCTCTCTCTGGCGCTCTCTCTCTCTCTCTCTCTGGCTCTCTCTCACTGTCACTCTCTCTCTGGCTCTGTCCTTCTCTCTCTCTCTCTCTGTCACCTCTCTCTCTCTCTCTCTGGCTATGTCACTCTTTCTCCCTCTCTCACACACACACACACTGCTCTCATTTACCCACCACAGAGAACCCTCCTTGCCTCGCACTAGTATGTCTGATGCCCAAATCCACGAGAGCATCTCTATGCGCCTGCTTGGTCTAACGCTGTCCTCTGACCAAAGATGGAATACGTTGATTCAATAGCCTCGCCTATCGCAAGGAAATTTGGTTCTCTGTGTCGCGCCAGAACGTTTTTTCTCGCCTGAGTCCATCCTTCAAATCTCAAGGTCCTCGACAAAGTCCAAAGACGGATATGCAATGTGGTTGGTTCTGTTCTGGCATCTTGCCTACAGTCTCTTTCCAACAGACGTTTCGTTCATTCCCTCTGTCTTTTCTACAAACACTTTCATGGTAACTGCTCCGACGAGCTATTTTCGCTGGTTTCCAAACTGCATGAATTTAAGCGTCTTACTAGGTTGGCATTTCTATCACGCCCTCTTCTACTCCAGTAGCTTCATGTCTTGCACTTCCCGTCTGTGGAACTCCCTTCCTCTTACTTGCTTCTCTAACAGTTATAGTCTTCAAGTATTCAAATGCAATGTCAATCGACATCTCCAGATACCTTGTTCTATTCCCCGTCCTTCTCTTCATACTTTCCTCTATCATGCTTCTTTACTCTCGCTCCCACTCTTTGTAACACCTTGCGTACTAGTGGCAATCCCGCTTTGCGTGGGGTGAAATGTTTACAATCGACAGCTTGATATAATTGCCCGTCCTTCTCTCTATCCTTTCTTTCAATCACGTCTCTTACTTTTCCTCCCATTCGCTGTAACCCCTTGCACGGTTGTGGTGCTCTCGCCTTGCTTGGGGTGAAAAGCTTAAAACACACACACACACACACACACACACACACACATATATATATATATATATATATATATATATAGATAGATAGATAGATAGATAGATTCATTATAAACGTCTGAAAACTCTATAACTAGATACATATATAAAACAATCTATGTATTCAAAGTTAAAAGTAAAACCATACTTCATAAAGGCTAAAAGTATAGCTGAAAGCGCTCGGACATACAGAACATTGGGATAATGTCTACATAATTGTTATAGTGGAACACACCTATTCTATAGTTAATAGACTCTCCCACCTATAATAAGTAGAAGTAGGAAGCGTAACGAGGGGGTCGCTCAGCGAGTTGGTCAGTCAGTCGATGTCAGACGACCGTTAGTCGAATACGAAAGTATCAGCAACCACAACTAGATTTACTCTGCGCCATTACCTATTATATCAAGTTCCTAACGTTTTGTACGTCGAACCTATTTTAGGACCGACTTAGTAAAAATACAAGCCTCCACTGTGAAACCACTACACAACAATAATTTATGTTCAGAAAAGAAGAAAATTATAAGAACAAAATAAAAATAAAATAACAAAAAATAACCGCATTACCTTGTTAGTCGTTTTTAATGAAACTTGTTGAAAAGAGGAATTGCTGCCCAAATACAATTAGATAGATAGATAGATAGATAGATAGATAGATAGATAGATAGATAGATCATCGCGTGTTAACATTAATATTCAATCCAAGTTTCAATAAATATAAGGAAATCATCTACAGTTGTAAATTGCCTTCGTGTTTATATAAAGCAGACGTTAATATTGATGACTACACCAATAACTTTTATTTTGAATATTAATCTCTTATATAAATTACGTCAGATCGACAGAAGGTTATCGGGAAGATGGCTAGAAATGTTCATATAGCTGAAGATATGTAGATGATTAAATGTATATACGCTACTGTGTTATCATCGGCAACTTTCAACTATTGGCATAGCGTTTTCTTCCGATGAAACGTTAATTCAATTAAAGTCATTTTCATACCGAAATATTTAGTTTTAAAACTTCGGAATAAGTAAGATGCGAGATGTATTCCTAAATTGCAGAAGTGTATTTGTCAAGTTTAAATTTAATAAAATTTAACATTTAAATTTAATAAAAATTTACAAATGTCCAATTGTTTAGCATTAGATGATCAATCATATAGCTTTTCCTGCCTCTTTTTGTCTGTGAAGGTCATGAGAATTGTGCGGAAGTTAATTTTTTAAGTGGTAGTAAATTAATACTCTCTTTCAAAAATTACCGATATTAAATCAATTGGGAGACATACAACACCAAACTCAGTCTAATTCAAATGTTTTTCTGACCTTAATGTGTATGATTTTGTCACTGTCCTCACACCAGCTTCGAATAACGCTAAGAATATCCAAATAGATTTTCTTTTTAGTGAAAGTTCACAAATCTGAAAACAAATCTGCAAAATCTAAGAATATTATTCTCAGGAAGATATTAAAACGTGCATTCTCTTAGCATGAAATGATTTCAGACGAATTACATTCTTTGCATCTACCAGATTTAACCTTCACGGCTAAGAACAGCCATGGTACGCACATTGTAACAAACCAATACTTTTCCCTTGGTATTTAATTGCTGAGATGTAAGTTCTACTTCAATAGTTTTGTCTACAAGTGGCTTTGTGGAACCGACTCCCAAGAGGATGCTTCCCTGTTCTTCCACACATAACACTATAAACGGTAACGCTTACTTTGTAAACTTCTACACTGAGTGGCTCTACGGTCCTGTACTGGGTAAACATTACAATAAAAAAGGAAAAGTTCCTTTCTTATTTCAAATTGATCATTATCAGCTTTTGGTAAAATATGCAGGGCAACTGATATCAGTTTCCAAAATAACTTTCTGTCATTGATAATTGAACCCATTTCCTTGCCTAATAATTTGAGTTTTAGCCGAGATTCGGAAAGCCGCGAAAATTTCCGCCAAAAATGGCCGTGAAAAAAATTCTCGATCACCTAGCCATGTTGGTTTTTGTTTTGTTTTTTTTCTCCGGAAAGCAAATATTTTTTAGAACAGCTCTAACCATATTATACTCCATTTTGTGAAAACAGGGAATTTCCGGATGAAGATGATGAAGAAAACCATGAATATGTCGGTGAACAATGGATAAAAAAAAAACTTACCAGTATGTACCAGAGCACAAGAGGTAAGAAACTCGACATTTCAGAAATCCTGTCGAAATTTCAAAGTACTGGAAATATGTCGAATCGACTATAAACGTCCTACAAAGATGTAGCATAGAATGGCCTAGAACATCACAACCAAAGAAGGTAGCAGCACAAGTAATGGATTAGTATGCTTTATCCAGTTTGGTACCTGGAGATGCCATTAAATGTATCCATCGAGAACATAAACTTATGTGGTGTATTTGATTTATGAAAAATAGTAATAAACAAAAAGCATTTGAAGACAACATTAAGTTAATCAAAGAGGCATGAAATCTGGAATTCAGATGCTTGGAATAAGATCTTATTCACCAATGAAACCAGGATTGATTTACATTTTAATAAGCAGGGAATTTTCTAGAAACCCTATAGAAAAGCGAAACGGTTCGTGTTATCCGACGAAAACAGTGAGGTTTAAAGATAAGAATCTGATGAGGTGTCACTGTATTGCAAGATTAACAAGATCAAAATCCTAACTTGAGATTGGTCGGACAAATGTGGGCAGCACTAAAGGGAATATTTTTTCAGAAGAATCACTGAAGTCTTGAAGAGTTGTTGGAATTCAGGAAAATAAAACAGCATATCCTAGCGATGAAGATGCGAAACTTCCCTTAAAATAAACACCACAAAATATTATCAATTTACCTTAATTTTATGAAATGGAAATTATGCAACAAAAGATCATTATATTTTTTTTAAACACAGTATCTAGTTTCGTTTATGTGAGGTGAGCGAAAACTAACAGGGTCATTTTTGAGAGTCGTCACATGACCGCCTATCATACATATTTCCATTAGAAAAAATAGGTATGAAAATGGTTCATGGTGGGTTAATTTTTTTTCTGAAGAAAAAGTCATTAGAAACATCTATTTATAAGCAAATAGAGGAAACATAATAACATCCCTAAAATGTTAAAAGCAATGTTTTCTTTTTTCTACAGCCTCACACACACTGGCTTTTCTCTCCAGCCTCATATACACTTTTCTTGACGATGAACGTAAGGCTACACATCAGTCTTCAGGTCGTTTCAATTTTTTTTCTGCCAGTGGTTACAAATCTATCTATCTATCTATCTATCTATCTATCTATCTATCTATCTATTTCAGTCTGTTTATATCTATCTATCTATTTCAATCTGTTTATATCTATCTATCTATCTATCTATCTATCTATCTATCTATCTATCTATCTATCTATCTATCTATCTATCTATCATTTCATATATATATATATATGTGTGTGTGTGTGTGTGTGTGTGTGTGTGTGTCTATCTATATCAAATAAACATTTGTATATGTGCATATATTATTTTATGTTATGTTTGTGTTTTCTATCTATCTATATATATATATATATATATATATATATATATATATATATATATATATATATATATCTATCTGTGTGTCTGTGTTTGTGTGTATGTATTTATAAATACAACCACCGTGTGTGTGTATGTATATATATATATGTATATGTATATGTCTTCATCGATATAGACATACTTATATCTATGTATATGCAACCCCGCTTCTTGTTTGTTGTTTTCGGAGGGATTATTACGCGGAAGATATTCTATCTATTTTAGAAATCGCGTTATCCCTTCAGGCTACAGTTTAAAAGATTTTCAACATGAAGTCCGCTCAAGAGTAAATTTTAATTTTTGTGCCCAAGTATTTTGTTATTTTTCTTTCTGTTTTCTTTTTTATTATTTTATTTTATTTTTGTTTTTTTCTCTCCTTGTCCTTTTTGTTAATTCCGGATCACTAGATTTTATATTCTTTTTAAAATTTACAAAATCAAAAAACAACATAGATTGTGGAATATCTTCTATCTATCTATCCATTATTTTCTATGTTTCTCGTAATAGCTTCATATTTATTTATGTTATTTTTTGAAAAATTTTCAACAATATATATATATATATAAAAATATATATATATTCCATAATCGTAATAAAAAATAACGAAGACATTGACGTTGATTACCAACGTCAAAATTCCCCGTTATTTCTATCGCTTTTATTTCCCCTGCTTTTTACCATTTTTATACACATGCACATTTCCTGTTAGAAATGGTTGACTTCTTTCTCTGAAGTTACTGACCTGAGATTGAAATCCTCTACAAAACGTTGATATATATATAATATAAATGTAATATATAATGATATGTTGCATGTATTGTTTGACTCAAATGTTTTGCCTAACCAGTTGAAAACCTCGATAGCAAAAACCTAAATTAATTTAACAATCAAATTATTTGCTCATGAAAATATCAAAACTTTTGTTGTTATGTTTAAATATAACTGGAAAAATTCATCTTATTATTTGACAATCAATCATTAAACAAACACATATATATATATATTTATTTGATATATAAATATATATATAAGAACAAATATATATATATATATCCTAGAAATATATACTTATATATATATATACATATATATATATATATATATATATATGATATATATATATACATAAATATTCTCGCAAATATTTATATATACATATCATATATATACATATTCATATATATATACATATACATATATATATATATATATAAAAGAACACACACACACATATATATATATAAAACATATATATATTGGAAAATATATATATATATATAAATATATGTTTATATATATTTAGATATATATATATATATATATATATATATATATATATATATATATATATATATGGATTTTTTTAAAAATTAATGACAAATTTGAAAAATGAGTTGTTTTACTCATTATCACGGTACGGAATTATATTCTCTCTCTCTCTCTCTCTCTCTCTCTCTCTCTCTCTATCTATCTATCTATCTATCTCTGTCTCAATTTTCTGTCCTAATGTGTCTTGTCTATCTATCTATCTATCTATCCATTTATCTTCAATCTCCCAACCATTTTCAAATGTAACCTCTGAAAAGGAAAAAATTTTGAAAGAATTCTCTTAATAATTAATATTATTATAATATATATTTTGGCTTTATCGGCTTTTGAATTGAGCTCTCAGTTTATTTTATATATTAAGCTTTTAGCTTTTTAAAGTTTTAGCTTATATTCTTACTGTTTGACTTGTCTATATATCATTACATCAGATTCTCATCTAAAACTTTGGTCTTTCTCTCTCCTGCCCTTCTTTCAAATTTCCACCCATACACACAATTTGCAAACATTTAAATGCACACACATCTAATAACCATCTTCTCCTTAAAATATACCCCCCCAAGTCCTGAGCTCAAATTCTGGCCGAATATTTTTCCTTCATTTCGCACTATAGAACCTTGGGGACAGAAGGATCTATGTCTCGTTCATCTAGCTGGGGTTTAAATAACTTATTGTCATATATATATATATATAAATATATAATATATATATATATATATATATATATATATATAATTATTAATCAAATAAATCCGTCTGGGGTTAGTTTATTTCAATTGTAAAGAAAGGGTTTAAAAGATGTAATTGTCCGTATGGTATCTTTTAAAAAGGCAGATTGACGCCTAATTTGTTTGATTATTAATTTTATTGTGACATCTATAAATTGAATTGAATACATGGAACTCTTTTTTGTCTATTAAAAAATCTAATTGTTTTATATTACTATTTATGAGTCATTTGATTTATATACCAACGGTTTTTATACTGCTACTATATATATATATATTTATATATATATATATATATATATATTCGGAGAATAATTGGAAAAAAAAATTCTCAAAATTGGACCTAGCGTAGCATCTCAATCCCAGTCAATGTTTAATACATAAATAAATAAATAAATAAATTGAGTTTTTTTTTTTATTGTATCCATCTTAATCACCATTATTGTAAGAATCCCGAAAAACCCTTTGCAATTAAACAAGTAATTTCTTTCATGGAACAGCACTATAGAACCTTGGGGACAGATGGATCTATGTCTCGTTCCTCTAGCTGAGGTTTAAATAACTTGATTGTCAGGTAGTCTAGTAGACTAGCCTACAATCAGATCTATTTACTTATTCAAATCTTATTATCAATCAGTTTGCTGATATCAAAGGAATCATACATGACCAGAGGTGAACAAGGAAAAAAAAAGCCTATACGGAAGAAAAACTGGATTGGTTTAGAAAATGTCAAACAGATCAAAATTTATTATTCAAATCATAATGCCAATGGTTTGAAAAGATCAAACCCAATCCATATAGATATCTCATGCACGGAACCATAATTTTAACTATATCCTGAAGAAACATTAAATTAGAAAAATGAAATTTTCAGTGGAACCTTACTATTCATATCATAAACCATTGAAGCTTGCAGGGATAAAATAAACATCTTAATTTGTCTTGGACCATATATATATATATATATATATATATGGAAGAGAAATATAGTTTTTAGAAAATTATATTTAACGGATAAGACCCACAATGTCAGATGAAATTAACGTATGTAAATCAAAAAAAAAACATAAATAACTATCTTAATCTAAATTACTGCTATAATTCAATATACTCTCAAATAGCTTAAGATAGCTCTAAATTCGTTGCCTTGTGCCATTGTTAGATAAATGCTACAATCTACGGTATACTCATGGAAGTTAAATTCGTAGCTGATCAAACACACGCTATTTCCAAGTATCAGAAAACATTCCTTTCAAATATCTATAATTCTATTCACTGTCAAACATTCCCTCTGATATTTACGTAATAACCATTATAATACTTCAATTGCAAACTTACTTTGTCCATATAATTGTATGATAATAAAATAATCAGAATTTAATCATTTTAATTGACAACGGTTCAACCCTTTAGAAGAAGACTTTAGTCTAGTTCATTGCATTCACTTATGCCATTCTTGTCGTTGAAAAGTATGAATCTATCATTTCTGGAACCAACCTTCCTAGCTTTTAAATCATTCAGAAGGGTCCATCTGCAAAATGGTTGTCCACCAGTTCAATAGATTTCTACTATTCAACCGATAACTGAGAAGTGAAAAAAATGGCTTCAGACCTTCCTAAAATGTTTATGATTTCAACCCTTGTAATCAAATCATATTAGAAATATATATTAAATTTAAAAATACCATATCTTAAAAGTAATGTGAAATCTCGTGGAAAAAACGACATTTGAGTCGCCATATTTTTCGTTAAAAAATTGGAATGTCAAAATAAGAAAAAAAATATAAACTATTTTCCAACCCAGGCAGGCACATTTTGTTTGTTAATAATGATTACAAATTTTCTTTTGATGAATACTTCTTGCAGTAAAAATCACACACACACACAATATATATATATATATATATATATATATATATATATATATATATATATATATATATGTATATATATATATATTTGTGTGTGTTAAATATTTAAATTGCTAACAAATATTAAATTAATTTAGATCCGACAGTTTTTTAAAAATTAAATTACTATCAAAAATTAAATGCAATTATTTTATTTAAATTGCTAAAATATATCAACAGTCCTCTTCTTCCTCCATCTACCCTAAATACATCTTTTTCTCTTTTACATATTCATTTTTTTTTTTGAATTTTCTATAGTCTAATGTCAATTATCATTTTATTGAATATGTCCGATTAAATGGTTCGATGTCTGATCCTTACCGCCGTCCTTCTTCAATATTAAGTATTATAATGAAAAAAAAAATAAATTTTATATTAAACTCTCCTTTTTTGTTTGACCATTCTCTATATTTCCTTCATATATATTATATATATATATATATAATATATATAAAATCAAATTTTAAAAACATTTTCGTTTCACTTTTTTTCATCCGACCCACAAAATAAATTACACAATCAAATAATTACAATGGAATCTTATCTATGAAATTTCTTAAAACCCTTAAATAAATTATATATATATATATATATATATATATATATATATATATATATATATATATTATATCTTGGTACATCACAGAATATCCTAAAACCTTTATTGCCTGACATACCTAGATATATTAGAGACACTACTGACTTTCTCAACAAATTACAAAACATTAACTTAGTCCACCATGATACAATCCTAGTAACGATGGATGTTTCGTCCCTTTACACGAACATTCCACATGTTGAAGGAGTATCAGCTTGCTATGAGTTCCTTAGTAACAAAAAAATTTAACTAACTACCAAATTACAGATATATGCCAATTAATAAAGTTCATCTTAACACATAATAATTTTAAATTCAACAACAAACACTATTTACAGATTAGTGGCACAGCAATGGGCACAAAAATGGCACCTAGTTATGCTAATATCTTTATGCACATTCTAGAAAAGAAGATACTAGACAATTCAGAATATAAACCATCACATTACTTTAGATATATTGATGACATTTTCTTATTATGGACTCATGGATCAGAAAAATTAAAAAACCTTTTTCACTTTCTGCAACAATTTCCACAATACAATTAAATTTACCATGGAGCACTCATACACATCCATCCCTTTCTTAGACGTTATGATAAAATTAAACAAACAAACACTTTCTACCAGTCTATACAACAAACCCACAAACCAACATAAATTCCTGCACTTTAACAGCTGTCATCCCTTTAAATTAAAAAAATCTATTGTATACAATCTCATTTCTTAGAATCAAACGCATATGCTCAGACCATTTAGATTTTCTATACAATATTAATAACTTAACAAAACAATTCCTAAAATGCAAATAAGCCAATAAAAAATAATAAAAAGAAGCACTAAATAAAACTATCCTGATAAATCGTAACACACTTCTCACATACAAGAAAAATAAAAACAACAATCGGATTCCCATGGTTTTTTAACCACAATCAATATTCCCACACACTTATTCACAATTTAAAAAATGGATTACAAGAACCTCCAATTAGACAACAAGATCAAAGACATTTTCGATAAACCACCCATAAATGCAATGAAACAATCACCAAACCTATCAGCTATCCTCACCTCTACCAAATATCTAAACAATAGAAACCAAACAGGAAATTACAAATGTAACAAACCTCGTTGCTTAGTTTGCAAACATTTAATAATAGATAATATATTTTCTGTACCCAACACCAATATCAGGATACAGCCACCTAACCTCACCTGCGATACCCATAACGTAATCTATTATTTATTCTGCAACTTATGTCCTAATAGTGGATATATTGGTGAGTCTGGAAACAATTTTAGATTTCGTTTTAATAACCATAAACAAACAATACGTCAAAACAACCCTTATTCCCCATAGCTAAACACTTTAATCAATCAGGACACACATTAGAAAACTGCAAATGTTTATTAATAGATTCCGATTTTACTTCCACATTCAAAGAAAAAAAAAAAATATTGGATTTTAAAATTAAATACACATAAATTAGGGTTGAATAGGGACTTAGGTGTTTTAAATCTTTATAAATATTTCAATAGCTAAAAATTTTTTTAGATATAGTAAAAAATTTTTTTTTTTTAAAATATTTATGACAGTTAGATTTAAGTTAGGAATATCTGAACAGTGACGTTCCATATCACGTGACGTCCGCGTCTCTCGAAGGACGCTACTTGCCAACAAACAGTAATTTTAATTTATTTGTAACAAACAGTTATTTCTGATGAAAAATTGAGGACAATTTGAAATATCAAATATATATATAAATAAATAAATATTTTCATAAAATAAAACATTATAATTTTTAGTTTGAAACTTTTTCTATATATATATATATATATATAGTATAGATATATGCAGTATAGATACAGTATTGATACAGTATAGATATATACAGAATATATATATATACAGTATATATATATGTGTGTGTGTATGTATTTGTGTCTTTGTGTGTGTGCGTGTAAAATAGGACACAGAATCCCGTCAAAATTTGGAAATATGACAAATAGGAAAG